ATCTGCAAACTTACTGAGGGAGCACTCGATCCCCTAATCAATTATATTAGGAAATAATAAAAAACCCTTAACTGTATCATATTAGCTCACCTGATCTTTACCCCTTACTGCTCAAACACTGCGAGCTTGCAACAGGAAATAACTAAACCAAGTGTTTGTGCTGCAGCACATTAACGTACGGCAGCTCAAAACTACGAACAGAAATGTTCAACTAGTTGCCACTTTACAGCCAGTCACCCGGGAGCATCGCTGCTTGCACCGCTGCACTGTACAGATGCAGCGGAAAGACAGACATAAGGAAATTTCTCTGTACATGAACCCACTGGCACAGCAGAAACGTACAGCGGAGCTTTTGGCGATGTGAAGAAGAAGAAAAGCCTCACACCAGCTTTGCTCATGACAACAGTTCAGTCACAAATCTTCAAGCTGCTGCAATTTTTATCCTCACTTAATGTGGCTCAGTACTAGTTGTCAACCAAGCCCATACTGAGCAGCGGCATCCCTGCACGCGGGTTATAGTTTAGCTGTGCTGCGTGTCGTTCCGAAGGCAGAAGTCTGTCTCCAGCGATCACTGCCTGACTTTGAGTCTTAAAGCCTCAAAACTATGCACAGACCTACCGAGGAAGGTAACGCAGCAGTTCCTAATGACATTTTGTTATCCCAAAATAGAATAACCATTCCCCCCCACTCGTATCTCTGATGTCCTTGTCTCTTAGTAGTTTCCCCACAGATAATCCTGAAGCAGGATATATGTTGAGCAACAAGACATCCATAAACACGAGCGTAGTTGGTAGACCGCTTTATCAGGACCACTCTCTGAATGTATCCTACAAATACTGCAGAACAGAACAAGATCCTCTGCAACCCTCCTTTCGGCTAAAAAAGTAAAACCAAAACCACACCTCCACTACCTTCAACCTCCCTAGTCTTTCTCAGTCAAAATACATTTTCCAGCTGCTTCTCTTCCCACTGTTACTTTTCCCGCCAGCCCATCCCCTCCTCTCCCGTCTCACCCCCTCCCTTGCTCCCCCCACCAGCCAGCACGAGCGACTTCTCCAGCCAAGCCCAGCTCCCGCCCAGGGCCCGTCCCACGAACCAGCCATGGCCAAAGAGGGACCAATGTTTCATACAGTAGGTTTCAGAGAAAGGGGAATTTGTGCCCGAGTGAAAGAAACACTACATTGCGAGGGTGACGGGACACGAACACCAAGAAAAAGGATTGATTGTGGCTTTCAAAGGTCACAAGCCTTTTCTACTTGCAATCTTATGCCTGCAAAATTCCCTCCCTCTTTTCAAGGGGAACGTGGGATCCCAAACCAACACCTATCATACCCCAACTTTCCGCTCTCCAGAGCGAAGCTTGCAGGAGGCACAATCCATGGACACAATCCATGCTTTCTCTGCTCCCCATGGATTCTGTCACAGCAGCTTTCAACAGGCTGGGCAGTCCCTGGTCCACCTGGCCTGCGGCTGCAGTGAAGGAGCCGTCCCGTTTCAGGCTTGGCCACAATGTCACTTACCAGGAATTCAACTGCAGACGCACTGGAAACTTCTGGGACAACGGGAGGAGGGAGATTCCCACGTTCAGCGACAAGGTGGTACATCGGGACGCAACGTCAGTGTCGGGAAAGCCTTCCGAGCGCAGGCCAGCCCCTCACTTGGCGATTTAATGACAGCAAAGCTGGGAAGACAGAAACCTTGATAGCTGCGCAGCACACAGCCGAAGTCCCCTAGCAACTAACTTTTAAAATTACTTGGAGAAATCCAGCAGCCAGACACCCTTTTCAAATTTGTTAATGAAAAATAAGAAAAATCAGCAGCTGAAGACATCTTGAGATGGAGCGCTGGGGAGAAATACATGCCATTACTTCAGCGGTTTTCCAAATTAATTCAGTGGGTAAGAAGTGACCTGTCTAAATGCAAATGCCAGTATCAAGTCTTTCTAAGACTTGATATAGTATAAAACTGAATTTCTTAATAAAATTCATTTCAAGTCCTTGATGGTCTTATGAATTTTGTGACAACTTTGATCTCTTTAATTAAACTTTCAGAATTACTGAAGTTGTGCACACATACAAACGGGAACTGTAGGTAACTTATCACAAACCCTTGTGATTCTGAGACTAACCATAATAAACTAAGTCAGGAAAGGCTTGATTTTGTATAGCTGAACTTGTTCCTGCTCCATCTTGCATGCTAAAATGCTGGGGTTGTTCTGCATAATAAATAAGGCACAGCTCAAACAGCCCAACTTAAGTATCTTCATCCTGAAAATTGAGGCAACCAGGGAATTTTTAATCCCCTGGTAAGATTAAAAATTTACCTGGAGGTAAGTGGCTACAACAGTGCCAGGGGAGTACCTTAAAGCTGGTGCTGTGGGGGTTGCAGCGGTCCTGAGGGCTGTTACCAAAAATCTTTTTAGAAACAAATCTTCCATCTTTCCAAACATGATGCTCTGTTCATGCAGAATCATGTGCTAACACACCTTTAGAGCTGAACAAAATTATCCCTTACTTCTAAGGGAATCTAGGAAAAAAAAAAAATCTGTATTTTTACAGCACTTAAGATGATAGTTTTTACTGTATCTTGGCATTATGATCATGTTTGAGGCATGAGATACTACAACATACAGGTAAAAAGCCTGATGTCCCCTTCACACCAAGGCTGGAAGCATCTTGGCAGTCTATTAAGAGCGCAGAAGGAAATGCTCAGAGGCATTTGTCACTTGTCAAATGAGACAATGCTGAGATGCTCAAAATATTTTCTCATTAACACATTAATGACACCCTGAGGGGAGACAGCACCAGACAAGGTAGCATCAGACTGCTACCTTGGAGAAGGAGTCTTCTGGCTCACTCGAGAGAGGTATTTGAGTGACACATAAGTACATCCAAGTTTCTGAGATAAGTTTTGTAGACCTAAAAATTCACTAAATGCTGCTGAGAGACTGAGGGTGAAAGACATTCTGCATGTGCCTGGAGCCCAGAAAAAAAACAAGCAAAAATGAACTTAAACAGCATTTTTCCCACTTCAACAAACCTTTCAAGCAACAGAAGGCTCACTGGAACTTCTATAGGGCAGGAGAGTAGCCTGCAGCTGTAAGACTTCGGGATTTATTTCTTCTAAACCTTATCAACTGCTGCTGCTGGATAATTAGGACATTTATAACACTGATAAGGAGATGAGGTTGCAGTACAGTGGCATTTTGGGGGAGATTGTGTAGATTAAAATGGGGAATCTGTCAAATATAAAGTACTTATATCTTACCTGAAAATGATTCCTTGAAAAACACTTATGCTTTTAAAGGACAATACGATTACATTATTATTTTAATCTTAATGCTAAAGGAAGACAGAAAAAGCACATTTACAGCGAGAGGCATTTGTATTGCTATCCAATTACGTGGTCTGCCCAGCTTTTCAACCTATATAAAAAAAGCCACCATGAATCTTATACACTTGTCAGCTGGGCATAACCACCGTCCATCGCTACATCAGAATAAACCAAGTTATAAGTATAAAGCTTAACAGTATTAGACTGCTGACGCAGTACATCCCACACACCAGTACCATGATGTGGTTCATACTTGTAACAAAACACCTCAAGGCACTCGGCAAAGCTTGTTCTCACCACCTACAGCAAGAGATGCCCCAAACCTGAAGGAATAGGCAAGCACTGTTGTCAACCACGCTACTGAGAGGTAGGGCACCTTGTGTTTTCCGCTTCAGGGGCATGCAATGAGGTGAACGTTCAAGGTGGCATAGCCTAAGTGCCACCTCGAGACCAAAGAGCAGAAGGCAGCCAGCATGTCTTCCTCCCCAGCAAGTTTCAGTCTCCCCGTCGAAGCCATCTTGCATCGGCTTAGATTTGAAGGGGGAACAACACTGGACCCCACACCACTACAGTTCACTTCTAGAGTTCTTCTCATACCTGTAATCCTCAAATTATGCCGTACTACAACGTTTTCTAATCAAATAATTTAATATCCAATTTATCAAAGTAATGAAGTCACTTGTTTTCTTTTTCACTGAACCGTGGTGAAAAAAGGTCACTGTTTTATTCAGCATCATAGTTACATAACAGTTGTCTGTTTCTATTACTAGAAAGAATTTATTAAAATAGTCCTGAAAGACACCTTTTCTTTCTCCAATGATTTCAAAATTATGCCTTTTAATGCCAATTCCACAGTCACGGGTTTGCTCGGTAGTAGTCACTTACAGCAATTGTCAAGGCACAAGCTCAGCTCTGCACATATGCTGCAGCTTGTATTATAAAAGAGATTTGCCAGTTACGTCTTCATTTAAAAACGCATAATCCCTTTATCATACATTGCAACAGGAGAAATTAACATTAAACACAGACTACGAAAGGTAAAGGATTTATTTCTGATATGATTTGTAGAGTTAAATTAAAAACCTACTGAATACTTTATGTAGTAGATGAACATAACCGTAGTACTTACTTTCTAACAGTTTATTTAATGGTTGGAAGTGTACAACATGAAGTAGGCCTTACGTTTAATATTGTTCAATTTTGCTTGTTGTTAGATGAGATTAAAATACAGTAGCCATCCCTTTAGATTATGTTGCAACACTGATCATGTGCCTTGATAAGTAGGAACAACGATTCATTAAATAAATGGTGATGACATAACATGTAGGGAAGACTTTGGATTGTCTATTTAAAATGTCAACATAATAGGCAATTAAGAGTAAAACTTCATTTTAAGTGCACTTCCACATGCTTTGTTTATAATATAGTAAAAACTTCCTATTTTTTTTCCAAACACTTTACTCCCTACTCTAAAGCTGTTCAGTTGAAAATGCACTTTCCCCAGTAAACTTTTTTTTAAAAACTAAAATTTCTACCCTTTTATATGCTAAGAAACGTTTCCTAATTAAAAACACAATTTATTACAAGACATGTGAAGACAACATATAGTGAAATGAATTTTAATTGTTGTGCTGTGACTAAAGTAAAGTTCTCAAGGCTGCAATTTAACATTCCAAGTTCTCCCTTCCATCTTTATTGATTAAGATTTTGCACAGAAACTCTTTGGGGGCTAGAACAGCAGTAATTGCATCACACTGTTTTCCAAGACTTCAAGTTTCAAAAGCAAACTCTTCAAAAAGTACAGTTCTTGATTTGATTAGATACAGGGACAAAAATATAGCACATACTTGAAGGTTACATGGTCTACAAATGATGGCAATATTTTCCTTGGGAGAGTACAGTTTGTTTTCTTGTAAATACTCAAAAAGGCTCAACTTCAAGCAGTAATAAACACAAGCAAAAGTGATTTAACCCTTAAAATAAATATTCAGGAAAACCTCTCTGTACATACAAGTGAAAGAATATGTAACACTTTCACGCTAAAAGAAAAAAATAAAGATTTTGTTCATATAAGCAGCTGAAATCTGCTGTTCCAGCCCAATGTCCCCAGTAAAGAAGGGAGGCACAAACACAGGTGACTACTGTAGCTCACTATCTTATGGCCTTTTTGGACAGGGACATCATCACCATCATTTTTTTAATCCCTTTTGTTATATTTGTTACAGCATGCCAAATCCTTTGGCATATGTGATGGCCTTCAATAATCTTTCTTTAAGCTTTTCTTTGCTCGAGTACTCCGGAAGCAAAAGTACATTAAAGCATGTGTGAGATGTAGGTAACCTGTGGGGAAAACAAAAAAAAAGGAGAATTCAAACCTGGGAACGTGCAGTACACGCAAAGAAACACATTACTACTTCACAAACCCAAAATAATGAATTTAAAGAGAATCTACTTTACTCAAAGATTCAACTTTCAGATTTAACTAAGTTAATAAAGTAAAAGCACAGAACTTCCTTCCATTTATGGACAAACAACCAAAACATAGATTTTAATTTTTATTTTACCTCTCTGTATCTGGGCCATTTTTGGCTATGATCATCTTTAACTTTCCAAGTCCTCCCACAGGGGCTCTGTCTGTGCCTGTTGTAAACTGCAAGAATAGTCTTTTCTGTTCATCTGTAAATGAATGGACTATTTCCCAGAATTCCCTATCAAGGAAGAAATCAAAAAGTGAGTAAATTGAAAACTTCCTTTGCTATAAAATGAGACTTCCGAAAGTAATTGAACTTTGAAGGTTTAGTAATTCTAATCAATCTTAAGATCAGTTTACAAGTTGCATTCATAAACTAAAACTAGCAGTAATGTATTTACCAGTCAACGAGATGCAGAAGTCAGAGGTATTACCAAAACACTGCAGTTTAACTGGTTTTAAATGTTAATTCAGCTGATAAGTGATCTGCAAATATTCTTCCTTTATTTTATTATTCCTATTTCCTATGGAATTATACTGGTTCCACTACACTGTCCATTTCTACCACCTTCTAAAACACCACAGTAAACAAATGCAGCTGCTGTCAAAGGCTTTCTACCCTAGCAGGAACTAGTTAAGTAGTTGGCAAAGTCTAGAGGACCGAAGATGCACGCTTCTCTGACCCTTGTCTTCAGAGTTCTCTAGTCAAAGGGGACAAGAAAGTAAAAATATTAAAAAAATGTTCCCTCTTAAAATTCATTGTATTTACTTGCTTTCCAATTAGAGAAGAAACTTCTACACAGCCAAGCTATTCAAACAATCCAGTGTTTGATTTTTTTTTTTTTTTAACAACAGCAGAACAGTTTATACGGGGGATTATTTAACTATATGGTATAAGAGAAAGACAAAAAACCCAGGGAAAAAGGCCTTTTATGCTTTACCAAAGTTCACTGGAAACTAAAGACAATGCTTATACTATCTGCTCTTTTCTAATGACAGTACTCAAGTAAAGTGAAATTATACATAAGACACTTGCATCTCCAGTACTACAAAAAATACTAAGTCTTACAATATTAAATTCATTATAAAGAAACAGGCAAGTAAAGTGCTTTTAATCTTTCAGAAATTAGAAAAAAATTACCTAATAATAAGAGAGTCTCTTGTATAGCCACCATCATATTCTGTAGTTTCTTCTAGTGCTTGAAAATCTAAATTCTGTAAGAAGATGACATTTAAAAAAATGACCACTAATTATATGCTTAGGATCAAAAAAGCTCTGCTTTTTCTGGTGTACATTCAGGATTCTTACCCTACTTCCACAAATAAGTAATTCAATTTCCTCTGGTCTAAATAAATATTTCAAAGGAGATTCATTGGTCACCATGTGGAATCCTCTCCGAAAGGCCTTGAACTGCTTTTCTACTGATTTATTGAGGATATAGTCAGCATACAGATTGACAAATTCCTGTAAAGAAACAACCCCCAAAAAACCCCTTAGTACTTTGACACACACTCCACCTGAAGTATCCCCCAATAACGTAAGACCCCAAATTCTGTAACACTACCCAGATTATCTGGGCTCAGCTTGTACTGAGCAATAGTAAAGAGCAAGTCTCAAATATTTCTCAGATAGGTCAAACATCACACTCAGAAGCTACTTATGCATATGGTGGCACTTTCTTTTACAACACAACCCCTCCCCATCCCTTTTCTGCTTACAACTACACTGTGATATGGCAATTTTAAAAGGCTTTTAAACTTCAAGTATAAGTGACGCCAAACCTTTACAGAGTCTTACATAATTCTGCATAGAGTATCTAAAAATTGCAGATTACATAAAAAAATTGTGTACCTTTCTATTTTCGTTTGTAATAGGAATTTTATCACCGTTTTCCTTTAAATCATGCATCATTGGATTGCCAAAGAGATCCGTATGAGATATTTGAAACGTTATCATCATATCATCTTCCACACTTCCTTCATACTCTAGTAAGTCTCTCAAACTCTGGTAAAGAACCTAACAGAGTAAGAAATACATGTCTGTCATAAATAAGTTTCAACAGATTTCACTAATACCAGAAGACATGAAGTCATCTGTCTCAAAAAGGGTTGTTACATTTTATGACACAAGTCACCTAAGATCTCCCGTAACCGTCCAAACAAAGGTATATTAAACTCAGTGTTTGTAAGAACAACCAACAGCAGATATTAAGGAAAAACAAAAAAGAAACATGGGAACGAGTGATAAACCCCTTAGAAGCACCCACCAGTACCTAGGAATCTTCCTAAATGCAACAGTTAGACCTGTAGTTTAAGAGACACTAATTACACCTCTTCCTCCTTTAACTCTTTTGAAACCGTATTTACTTTTGGCATCCAGAACATGTTACACTAGTAAGTTGAACATGTATATGTTAAAATCAAAAAAAGCACAAGCACTGTATAAAATTCAAGCAGCAGGCTTTTCTCTCCCACATCTTAATTTAAAACCCAAACAAACTAGGAAGTAATCTTGAGGCAACATGGATGGGGCAGTCATTAAAGTAAGAGAACGTCTCTGCACAGAAAAAAAAAAAAATCACAAGTTAGGTGAGAATTTGCCAAGTGGAGTCTGAAATTACCTTTAACAGTTTGCTCTACTCAAAGGAGCAACCAGGCTCCTTTTCTTTAGCTTTCTTTTCTCCAATTTTTTGGCTGAGACAAAGGTGTAGGACTCAAGAATGCAAGATGAAGGTAAAAGCAACAGCTGAGTGCAACTGTATTTTTACAGTGGAGTAGAACTAATAAGTTTCCCCTAAATATTTTAACTATTGAAAGTTTACACATAAGTCACATCCCTCTCACTATCTGTATCCCTTTGATTCTTTCACAGAACCTTTAAAAGTATCTTACATTGAAAATGACTGGCCTTGGAACTATTGGTGATGAGGACTGGTGAGCACTCTATCCTTCACGCTCTATAGCATTTGAGCAAGCATTGGGTGGCTTGATTACTCTGAATTTCCGTTTTTGGTTTGAGAAGCTCTGAAGTAAGTGTTTAAGTCATATTAGAGTGCAAAGAGTTTTAAAAGGGTGATTTTAAATGAAGTCAGTATAGGTGTCAGAGGAGAAACATAAGAGTAGTGGAAAAAAAAAATTAAGAAATGCCCTGACTGCCTTGTACCACAGAAATAAATCTACTCTTTCTGTAAACTGTGAGTTTATAATACACATTACAGGAAACTAGGAGCACTGTGTATTTCTTATCATTTTATAACGGCTAAACCATGACACTGGTCAAAGATGGCATGCTGTTATACGTAGTCAATCAAAGCAGACTGGATAACCTATTTTTTGATTACACATGCCTCATTTTCTGATTAAACGACAATAAAAGGCAAGTTTTTTTAAAACAGTATCATTTTACTCATCTTTTTTGAATAGCTCAAGATTTTGCATAACTGCTTATGAAAAGGGAAATGTCACACCATTTGAAATGAAGTGAAGCATACTAATAACTCATACTAGCTAGCATCAGGGAAAGCTACCGGTGATCTTTCATTGAGGATGGAGCAGGGTCAAGACATCCTGCATACAGGCTTCTATACTCTATCTACTAAGGCATGCACAGGGCTTAGTGTTTTGTATAGCCAGTGGCTGAGGAGGGGTGGGGGAAGATGGACACTGATCACTGCTCCCGAACTGTAGGGATAGTCATGAACCCCCTCATCTGCCTTTTGCTTTAGACAAAAACCAGCATGAGCACCACACTTTTGCATGTCTACTGTTACTTTCACATTTTTTTATAGAAATCTGCTCCTACAAATAGATATAAAAAGCCTTATTTTAGAAGTCTCTTTGGGAAGATATTACTAATAATAGTTTATGCTTAACAGTGCTTAGTGATATTAAGCAATTTCGGCAGCATGTAAAAAAAGAAAACAAAGCTTTATTGATACCCAGCCCCATCTGTTGACTCGACAATTCTGCCTCCTCCAAATCAGATGCAGTAAGAGGTCTTAGTAAGATTCTAAATTGAATTTATTTTAACAAACACAGACTTTTCATGTAAGTCATTGGTTATTTCACTTCCACTTCTGACAGTGATCTTGTGTTTAATTTAAATCTAGATTAAGTTATTGCATAGAAAATGCACTAATAAACTCAAAGAACATAATGAACTTACAGGATGAGAGTCTGCCAGATCACGGAAAGTTCCTTTTTTGCCCATTAGCTTCCTGTAGACAACCATGGGAAAATGTACATCCAGTATACAGTTATTGTAAATAGCCAGACCCAGTACTATGCCAATCAGTGTAAACTGACCCTCAGTTTCAAAAGAGGACGGATTAAACCAAAACAGTTTTGTAGATTCATCATATGTGAACATGCCTGTAAAAAAATGATGTTGAACAATTATGGTTACATTTCAATAAAAATGACATGTAAAACATACCATTATAAACCCATTTGCATTAGAATGCCTCTAAAACATGTTTAAGTTAATATTATAGTGAATTTAATGGCAAAGAGAAGCTACTTACCTTAAGGTAATTGGAGCTGCTCAAAATACTGTTACTCACATTAGCACTAAAAGCATGCAGGAGACCTGCAATACAACATCCTGCAACGCCCACTGAAGCTGTACACATCCCCCCTTTCATCCCTTTCCAATACTGAGGAAGCAGCAGCACATTGTCAATCTAGATTTGAAACTTTGACAAATACAACAGTGCAAGAAAAGAACACAATCAAAAACCATGTGGATGAAATAATCCTGAAGAACTCCAATTACTGTAAGTGATAGCCTTTCCTCAAAGCCTTTTCCAGGCCAGTTCCATCAAAGGAACAGGACTAGACGCAGCCCTATTACTGAACTGGAAGCTATGATGGAAGCAGGGACTAACCATCACATATCAACTTAAGAGTTAGATGCCTAACAGATTTCTTTGTTTGTTTAAAAGGTACTCAACAAGGTCCACTGAGTTGCTGCAGCTATCACATACATCCTAACTTGAGGGGAAAATATAAGATGGGACTGTCATTTCACAGGAGTTGCTGCAATTTTAACAGCTTGTCACTGTTGAAAAGGAGAGGTTTTGCTTTGTTCCCCTATGCCCTGATTCAGCTCACTATATCAGGTGACCAATTTCCTACCACGTTCACCAGCTGACTACCTTCACAGAAGGCTTCAACAAACAGCTGAACTGGCACGTGCCAGGAGCTGGAGAAAGTGGATAGAACTGTACAGACAAGAGAAGGACAAAGAGTCCCTTACCCTTTTGTCTGTAGCAAGCCATTAGATTAGCTCTTGTTTATGAAACCAGTTTGCGTACAGGCTATAAACTATTTAAATCCATCCATGATAAAATCCATTGCTTACATGGCCACATACTGAAGTACAATAAATACAAACCCCATAGACTTAAGCGGAGGGAGAGAACACCCTGGACAAGTATAGTCCCAGTGACCTGTACAGCTAAGTCCCATGATTTCCAGGCAGAAGCCAAGGTAACGTGCCCAGGCTCCTCCCCACACACTAGAATTTCAATGCACGTGGTCAAGAACATGAACTACATTTGCCACAAGGGTTTATCTTGTCAGCTGTTAAAGATATGCTTATTTACAACCTATGAAAGTCTACAAATTCATTACAAAGCCACACAGAGCCACAAAATTACTCCTTCGACTGAAGATAACATGTCACCTTCAGCCAAGAGATAAAGCCTGAATTCTCAATGTAAGGAAGTGAACTGCAAACTCATCCTGAGACTCTGGCTAGTCCCCAGAATTGAAGATTATTTATCTCAGTAAGGTATTAGGACAGGCTCAGCTATTAGGGGAGCACACAAATAACTAACACATCAGGTACGGCAAATGGAAATCTGAAATGGATGAGCAACAAAAGCATATATAGGAGGAACATTGACTAGAAGCCTGCATTCCATTTTCTGAATTGACCAAAGTAACTTGTGGATTATTGGCACAATAAACACAATGATTTGCACTTTCTGGAGGGTGATTGAGGAGGCATCGTGCTCACAGGCTCTCATCCTGCTGGAGGACTTCAACCACCCAGCGTTTGCTGGAAAAAGTAGCACGGTGAGCTATAAGCAATCCAGGAGGCTCCTGGAATGCATGGAGGATAACTTCTTAAGCCAGGTAATAGACAGCCCTACCAGAGGGGATGTGATTCTGGACCTGTTGGTCACCGACGCAAGTGATCTAATTGGTGACACCAAGATTGGAGGCAGCCTGGGCTGCAGTCATTATGCACTGGTGGAGTTCACAGACCTGAGGGATGTGGGGCAGGTGAAGAGTAAAGTCAGGACCCCAGGGATTTTAGGAAAGCAAACTTCCAGCTCTTCAGAGTTAGTCAACAGGGCTAACTTTTTTTTTCCCCTGGAAAACCACCCTCAGGGACAAGGGAGCAGAACAGCTGGCAGATCTTTAAGGAGGCTTTCCATAGTGCGCAAGAGCTCTCGATCCCCAGGTGCAAGAAATCAGGAAAGGAAGGCAAGAGGCCAGCATGGCTGAGTGGAGACCTGACAGGCAAACTGAAGGGCAAGAAGGAAATGCACAGGCAGTGGAAGCAGGGACAGGTATCCTGGGAAGAGTACAGGGACACTGCCCGGTTGTGTAGGGATGGGGTCAGGAAGGCCAAGGCACAGCTGGAGCTGAACTTGGCAAGGGATGCAAAGAACAATAAGGTATGTCAGCCAGAAAAGGAAGGTCAAAGAAAGTGTACCTCCCTCAATGAGCAAGACTGGCAGGCTGCTAACAAGAGTTGAGGAGAAGGCTGAAGTACTGAACAACTTCTCTTCCTCAGTCTTCACTGGCAGTCTCTCTTCCCACACCTCTCAAGTGGATGCACGGCAAGATGGGGACTGGAGGACTGTCAGAGAAGATCCAGGTTCAAGACCACCCAAGGAACCTGAACATGCACAAGTCTATGGGACCTGACCAGATGCATCCCAGAGTCCTGAGGGAACTGGCTGATGCAGTTGCCAAGCCACTCTCCATGATACTGGAAAAATCCTGGCAGTCAGGTAAAGTCCCTGGAGACTGGAAAAATGGAAACATTGCACCCATTTTCAAAAAGGGTAGCCAGGAGGACCCTGAGAACTACTGACCCGTCAGCCTCACCTCTGTGCCTGGGAAGATCATGGAACAGACCCTCCTGGAAGCTACGCTAAGGCACATGGAGGACAGGGAGGTGATTCAAGACAGCCAGCACGGCTACACCAAGGGCAAGTCCTGCCTGACCATCCTAGTGGCCTTCTATGATGGAGTGACCACATCAGTGGAAAAGGGAAGAGCTATGGATGTCATCTATCTGGACTTCTGTAAGGCCTTTGACACAGTCCCCTACAACATCCTTCTCTCTGAATTGGGAGAGATACAGATTTGATGGGTGGACTATTCAGTGGATTAGAAATTGGTTGGATGGTCGCATCCAGAAGGCAGTGGTCAACAGCTCAATGTCCAGATGGAGATTAGTGACAAAAGGGTCCGTACTGGGATCCGTACACTTTAATATCTTCATCAGTGACATAGAAAGTGGGATTGAGTGCACCCTCAGCAAGTTTGCAGATGACACCAAGCTGAGTGGTGCTGTTGACACACCTCAGGGATGGGATGCCATCCGGAAGGACCTGGACAAGCTCGAGGCATCAGCCCATGTGAACCTCATGAGGTTCAACAAGGCCAAGGGCAGGGTCCTGCACTGGGGTCAGGGCAACCCCTGGTATCAATACAGGCTGGGGGATGAAGGGACTGAGAGAAGCCCTGCCAAGAAGGACTTGGGGATCCTGGTGGATTAAAAGCTGGACATGAGCCAGCAATGTGTGCTCACAGCCCAGAAGGCCAACCATATCCTGGGCTGCATCCAAAGCAGCATGGCCAGCAGGTCAAGGGAAGTGATTCTGCCCTTCTGCTCTGGTGAGACCCCACCTGGAGTCCTGCAACCAGGTCTGGAGCCCTCAGCACACGAAAGACATGGACCTGTTGGAGCGGGTCTAGAGGAGGGCCACAAATGATCAGAGGGCTGGAACACCTCTCCCGTGAGGACAGGCTGTGAGAATTGGAGTTGTTCAGCCTGGAGAAGAGGAGGTTCCAGGGAGACCTTATTGCAGCCTTGCAGTACTTAAAGGGAGCTTAGAAGAAAGATGGGGACAGACTTTCTAGCAGGGCCTGTTGTGATAGGACACAGGGTAATGGTTTTACACTAAGAGGGCAGATTCAGACAAGATATAAGGAAGAAATTTTTGACCATGTGGGTGGTGAAACACTGTCCCAAATTGCCCAGAGAGGTGGTAGATGCTCCATCCCTGGCAACGTTCAAGGTCAGGCAGGATGGGGCTCTGAGCAAGCTGATCTAGTTGAAGATGTCCCTACTCATTGCAGGGGGGTTGGACTAGATGACCTTTAAAGGTTGCTTCCAGCCCAACACATTCTGTGATTCTATGGAAAAAGGTAAAACAGTTAAAACAACTCCAGCAAATTTTTAATTATGAAGGACTAACAGTTTACCCAGATTCACATCTGGAAACACTTTAATAAAACACTGTACTTCACATTCACTGATCAAAATTAAGACTATAGTACATTAAAATCATAATAAAACACCAGAATAAACCGGAAGCTGCAATCAGGGGAAAACAGTTGTAGAGTGTTTCCTAGAAATTTGTATGAAGTTACTCCTCCTTCCCTTTTACCATGGTGACTGTTGGTCATAAATCTAATACTTTGTCCGAGTTATTGCCTCCTTCAAGTAAAACTTGAAGGTAGTTTACTGTGGAAACACTTGAACTGTAATGCGAAGGAAACTATTACAGCAATAAGCTTTACTCCACATATAGCTATCAGAGGACAGACTTTTAAAATTCCATTTAAAGGATTTCCTTCATTTTCTCTGGTAAATTAAGTGTTTACAAATCAACAGAAGTCACTCTTGATATATATGATGTGTAAACTGTTATACTGCAGTGGATATTGATAGGTGCAAAAGAGGAGAAGACTGAAAGCAAGCTATATTTTCTGCTTTTATACATTTACGCTAGAAACCAATCCCTTTTTTTCTTTTTTTTTTGTATATGAATACAGAAAGTGTACAGACTTTTTTGTATTTTGAATACAGAAGTACAATTTAAAACATGCATACCCATCTTTACACACAGGGAGCATATATATATACACACACACACACACACACACACACACACACTGGATGGATCTCGGCTGAATCAGACTTCAGTTACTCAACAGGAGTATTTTAAATTAGGTACCCCACACAACTTCTGTTTAGATAAACTCAGGTCAAAAATGTATTTCGTATTGGAAATACAACTTCGCCAGTCAAAATACCAAGACTTCCTTATTTTGGCATACTTTAATTTATTCCAAGTAACCTTGCTAATTCAGATTCCAAATCTCTCCAAGTTCACAGCAGTTTTCAAAGTGAGTAAGACTTGTCTATGGATCTGTATCACTTGTTACAAGAACTGGCTTGTGTACAGTGAAGGGCAAGTGCCAAGGTTCAGATTCTGTTACCAATTCTGGGGACCCCCTCTTTAACCAGGGCAAAATGAATTTGTGTTTCTCCATCAATTTTCTAAGTTACAAAAACAAGACCAACAGCTTTCTTTTAAAAAAGAGTTCAATGAACCCAAATTAACTGATGGCCATAAGCTGTTCAGCTTCCTTAATGGAAGCCATTACAGGAACTACAATGTGACATCATATTTCACATAAACTATGAAATCAGTATAGAAACCTGATAGGTCCCATTTCTTTTCTGACACAAAGTATTTGTAACATTTTAAAACATTTTAATCTTTTCAGAGCAGCAGACAAGCTGCATATTAAAAGCAGCATGTCCTTCCATGTATAGACAGAAGCATAAAAGACTGGTGCAGGGAGCAAGGGAAAAAACAGCAAGATGGAAATGTGACTGTTAAAACACAAATAAAACTTTGGCTACAATATATCAAATTACTCCTAGTTCTTAACTAACTACAATAAAATTTGACATTACTACCACACTTTGGATCTGTAACCCTTTTAGATGAAATCATTAGAAGAACTAGGACTATCAGATTTTTTTAAGCTGGAGGAAGGGGAGGAAATAACTCAAAAACTCACCATAGTCCTACTCTGGTTTTATTGCAGAAGCTCTTCCTCTTTGGTTTGATTACTAATTCTAGAAGCTAATCACAAAGCAAAGCGAGGAGAAAGGTGAGAGAACAAACAGAGGAACCCTGCAAAGAAACCCTATACTACTGATTTATATCTAAACAAGCAATGGTAGCTTTCACTAACTATACACAGTTATTTTTCATCATTCCTCCCGAGGAGGATGACTGATGATGACATAGTGAGCCTCAATGGGTCAAGTACTCTCATGATCACCAAGAAACCTGGAAAGCTTCAAAGAGAAGCAGCAGCAGATGTAGAAAGGCACTGCATAAACACAGAACAGCCAAGGTTGGAAGGGACCTTGAAAGATCATCTGGTCCAACCTTTTGTGAGGAAAAACCTGATAAATTAGCAAATTATTGGAACACATACCAATATCTGGATTGAAGATTTCTTCTACAACCAGTTGAAAAAATTCTTTGGAAACACCTCCTTCATCTACCCCTTGCTCTCCTTCAAATTCAACATACAATTGCTTCTTCAAGTCTGCAGGATTTTCCATGGCAATCATCTCTAGCTATTAAGTGAACAGATAGAAGTATATAATTAGTAAATCTGTTTACTAGTAGAATCAATTGAGTATCAAATAATGTAATCAAAACTACTCTCCAAACCTAAGAAGGAAGCATATAAATCACAATGGCAAAATATCAGAAACCAATAGTAATGTTAAATCACTCTAAGCACGTATTAGAATTGGGGATTAACGCAGCAAGAAACTCACCACAGATTTGATCTGTTAGCCAATTAAGTCTGTTAGCCTTCTCCATTTCTATTCTTTTAAGCACTTATTTAAAATAACTTAGCGTTTTGTTGTACAAAATTCAGAAACAGCAGTACAAAACCAAGATGTATTACTGGGATAATTAAATGCATCTGACAATGAAAAGAGACTGCAATCTGATCTACATGTTTGACAACAAACAGTTTTGTGAAGGAATTAGAGAGATGTTTTCAGAACATTCAGGTGATAATTTACAGTAGAAGACAGAAGACAAGCCTTGGACTAGTAGCTGCATCTCAAAGAGCAGAGGAAAAAAAAAACCCAGAAATAAAAAGACACTAATACCACAGTCAAATCAATCCCCATTCCTCTTGACCCTAATGAAGAAGTATCAGAAATCTCTTGCTCTTACTTCTTCAGTGCCTTTAAAGGGATCTACTGCATTGCTTCACCAAAGTAAAAATTCAGTTAAGGTCTAATAGAAGCTGTGACATTTCACAGGAAAGGATTTCATATCTATATAAAGGACACTACAGGTCCTTTACTTTCTTCCAACAGAAATGTATCCTTTCAGTAAATCAAAAGTTATTCAATACTTTGCAGTTGATAAGAAATATGCTGCTTAAAAGCATAAACATATTGGTTAAGCCTGTGCAGCCCAATTACATTAAGCATACCTATGTGGCAAAGAAAACTAACAGCAGTAAAGTAGGGCACCGATGGATCTCTATGTTCCTCTACCAAGACCACATTACCAGTGAGATTTGCCTCTAATCCAGGATCGCACAAACTGTACTTACCCGTAGGTGTCCTTAACATGCCAAACCATTTATTTCGTTACCCTACCTTATCCATACACATGCCAACACATCCTTTACATCCCAGAATTTTACTACAGAAGCATAAAGGAAATTAGGAACAGAACAGAGAGGATAAAGGCAGCAATAATGACACCATCAACTCATAAAATGGCACCACCAGTAAGATACATTTTCTCCTGGTAACTGCCAAATCAGCCAGGCATGTTGCAAGCAGCACAGCAGGCCTAGACCGGTGGCAGAGCTGTGGCTAGTGTAATGGGTTTGAAGACTGAAGCTCCTCATGCAAAAGCAGCAGTTAGAGAAAGAATTGCAGTAACTGGTATTGAAAATTAGTATCAGGAAGAGACAGAGTGTAACTCCATAGCATAATAAAGCTCAGTTAAAAAAATAAGAGTCAAGCCATGAAGACCCCAATAATGAGAGCAAGTCAGACTAGCTGATTCAGACATATATTAAATTACAAGATGATATGGAAAATTTAGTTATATACTACCTACAGCATCTGGTATTCTATTGCATACTATTTGCAATAAACTGTTGTTGCACTTAAGGAGACCAAATAACATTTACTCTTTGAAATTAACTGTATCTTACCAACAATACTTTCGCAGCAAAAACATGTTGCAGTTCTCCTGCCATTGGTATTCCCATCACATGCTTCCCATAACAGTGTAGTTTTACATCTTGTCTTTCATGTAAATCTTACAATTATGCACCTTACAGATATGTAAAAAATTTTGTTCCTGAACAGCACAATGGAGCTTAAGCCATATTGCAAATAGAACTGAAACTTTGTAAAAACAGAGAAGCAGCACTTATTTTAAGACTGTAAGTACACGTTATGCACTCAAGCTGGACAGACAGAAGTTCCCCTATTTGAATCTCTTCCACTTAAAACTGGCACTAACAATGCTTTGGTTTCTTCTCCCCAGTGACGACTTTGTTGGCTTTGTAGTAGTTACAACCAGCAATTTACCATTTTGCAAGTTTTATGAATTTTGATGGGTTCTGAGAAAGCAAGTATTTCCTCTGCCTTTCTTTTGGGGCCTTTGTAACCCTTTGTCATAGTGTAAAGGCTCTCATGTCAGAGAAATACACTTATACTATGGAGAGTGCTCATACTTATACAAATCAAGCAACTAAAAAAATTATTTCAAAATTATTTTTTGGCCGAGAGCTACTCTGAAATGAGTGATGTAAAAGAAAAGCAGTATTAGAAAAAGGAGAAGGAAACAGTTGAGCAACACCAGCTGGGCAGACTGGAACGGTGCATTGGATGCCTGTGAGGGAGTCAGACAGAGGATTACCAAAAAGCCAGTATTGTGAGTCAAAGCCTAATGTTCCTTGAAGACAATGTTGCTAAGCTGCTCAACTGAAGGTTGTGGATTTAGCTGCTCCTTTGAACATTCATGTCTCTCAACACTGATGCTTCACAAGAAAACTGGAACTCAAACACAGGCATTACTCATGATAGTAGAGAGGCACTGAATTTTAGCAGAACTGCAGCAGTGTTTCTGTAGCAAGGAAGTATGACCTTCAATTTAAAGTCGTTTTTTTCTTCTTTTAAATAATCAGAGCTGCCTCAGTCACATCAACAGAAATGCTGCTGGATAAACTCAATCTATGTGTATGTGAATTCCTGAAGTTTTAGAAGCTAATACAGTCTCTGTCATGATGGTTTGACTGGCCAAGCAGATGATGTTGTCATTACACTTTCTAGGGACTTCCCAGAAAGCATGCATGTAGCATCTCTGAAGCAGCAGCATCAAAAATTGAGTATCTATGAATTGAAAAGCTGAAAGCTGAGACCACATTATTAAAATTGATAATAATGGAACTAATCTCTATTCAGTTAAAAATTATCAAAAAACCCCTCAAGTTCTAGCAATGGAACATAGAAGTTCTCTTTAATGCAGTAGCAGGAACACTTTCAATGCTAGAAGGCAAAAATGACACAAACACAGCTAATTCAAGTTTGAAAGTACCAGTGACACATCGTGACATAAGTCAGTCACTACATTTTCTGCAAAATGGCATGTGAAGTAATACTTAAAAAGTGACTAAGAAGCATCCCCTCAAGTTTTACTTTACAGTCCATGCATACACTTGCCAGCGGAGCTTGCATATGTCAACCACAGTCAGACATATTCTGCACACAAATGCTGAGATTTTCAGGTCAACACACATAAACATCGATTTGGCCTAAAAGAACCTCAAAGCTCCCAAAGTACTTTGTTGCTAATATTATGAGAGTACCTGCCTACTGGCTTCAGTTGTCACGTAAGAGGTTTAGCTCATCAATACACTTAAGAGTCATTTATAAGCAGGAGACACTTGCTGCTTGCCAGACATCTACATTCAGTGTGAAATTTGTCAAAGGGAGTTTCTAGTTTGCGAGCAAGTATCAGCCAGACTCCACTGCCGGAGTCCACCACATTTTCACTTGCAGAACTCGTGTGTCCTAACTCACAGCCTTTAAATTACTGCTACCTGAGATTAAATCCACGTACAATCTGGGTCATGGGAGTTAGGTTGGGGGGGAGAGTAAACTCAGAGGAAGGGGATGAAAGAAATAGCTGTTGGGGTATGAAGAGGCAGGAGAGGGTATTTAAGGATAAACTTCCTTTCATTACTACCACATGCACATAACATGACTCAGCAGGAGTACAGCTAACCTCTGAAACCTGTTAGACACAAAAAAGCATGTTGACTGCTTTCAAGAACTGCGAACTGAGATACAAACTCCCAAATGTGAGAATTCCTTAATAAAAGTAGGGACTAGCACTTTACCAATTCCAACATTCCCCCCTGCTCCCCAGCAACTTTTCAGACTAACATACATACAAATAAGTATACAGTAAGTATATAATACAAAGAAAGCACATTTCATTAAGTCAATAAAAAAAACCAAACAAGTTTCTGATGCAAGTTTCATACATGCAAAGAAATTGAACAATGAATCTGTAAATAAAATTTTTTGCTTAGGTGCATGGGTTCCAGGGTGAACTATGATTCTCTTAATAAGCTACTTTAAACAAGTTATTGCTTCAAAGGTATTTAAAAGGTATTGCTTCAAATTCTCAATAAAAGAAAAAATCCTACAGTAATAATAAAAAAAACCCCTTACCAGTGCTCATATTTGTTTTAATGAAGTCCAAAAAGTGAGAAGATGTACATACTGAATTCTAAAAGTTTAAATATTTAAGTATTGATAAAACAGTTTGGTGATAACTTAATTAGCTCGACTAATTAGCAAAGACAGACCGGTACTTAGTCCATTTGCAAAAAGTGGTTATGAAGGCTGATCGATGTATTTCCTTGAAAAATATCCAACATCAATAAGGAAAATATGAGTAAGATCATCTCAACCTCATTTTAATCAATATTTCTGAAAATGCTTTTATCAGGAAGTTATTTGTTATTCCATATTTAGTCCAAAAAGTCTGCACTGATTGTTCTGTAAAGACACAGGTCTTACTAGAGTGTACATAAGTACGTAATTACTTACAGCTCAAACAAGTCTCTAAGCATTCAAACCCCAAAAGTAAAAAATGCAGTTCAAGAGTAAAAATATTGGTAATCATAATTACTTACCTGTAATTTAAGCATGTTTGGAAACATTTTGCCACTGAACAGATCTAAGAATATGCTTTTACTACTGAAGACTATTACCTTGGCAAGATCTTTCTGATAGTTGTGAGACCCTTCCAAAGTTCAATACTGCCCCCAGAACTGCAACCATCACTGATGCAAACTCGTACAACATGGCTTTCACTTACGGTTGATGTTGTCAGTGCTGCTACAGAAGCACATGGTTCCCATCTTTGACTACTATCAGAGATAGAGCATATTACTTTAAGGATTAGGACATAAGGCTAAAGATCCTCCTCCAGACCTATTTCACACCAATTAGGAAGTGGACACAAATTGTTGAAATTTCTAAAATCATTTCCCAACCTGTTACAGGAAGTACCTGTAACAACAGCATGCAATTTCTCAACAGATCAGGCACTTGCTGAAGAAACTGCAAGACGACTGTGTGGAACAGTTATTTTCTCTACAACACTTTTCCAGCTACCAGGAGAGTTGCAACTTAGAGATTTCCTGAGGTTTGTATGTGGGTCACAAAGTGTCTGTAGTGACCATTACCTTCTGATGGATCTTTCTTTCATGAAGAGCTACAAGTTGTGGGTAAAGACATCCATAATTTTAAGGTACTCAGTGTGGAAAAAAATATGTCCTTTTGCTTGTGTTAAGCCTGCTTCCTGATAATATGACTGGGTGCTACCAGATGAGAAAACCAGTATCTCCCATGCAACTTCTCCATGCTGTCTTTTACATCCTCTCTGTCATCTTTTCTACCACTAAGAGGACTTCACAATCTCTCTGCAGAGACTCTGAACTCTCCAAATGTATTGCTATTGCACCCTTTTTGATCTTAAAATGAGAAAAAACAAACAAAAGAGAGATATAGCCACACCATAGTAAAAAGACATTGTATTGTTCCATTTGCTCCTTAACTCCTAACACTTCCTCAGGAATATTTAAAAAATCTTTTCCATGAGCACCAATACTTCATATCATCAGTTACAACATATCAATAGTTAAAAGGTGACTTCTGCACCCACTACATACCGGTTATCAACACAATTTTCTCTCAGTTCACATCATCTCAACAGCTACCTTGTTGCATCTGTTTGAAGTGGCACATACAGCTTCCTTCCTCCAGCTAGGATGGTGAGTCTTCATTCATCTCCATTTTACTGAATATAATCTATTTTCCACTTTTGAGAAATGTCTGGGCTGTACTTTGTCTTGTTGACTAAACTACTTGAATTTAGAACAGTTTTATCTTTTTCCTTTATTTTCTGACCCAGAATAAATAGTTTAAAAATCTTACTTTCCTTGGGACTTTGACAGGGTCAGATCACCATAATTTAGTGCATTCTGGCAGCTTAAATTAACTGCCATAAAAGGATCCATGGCAACTGCCTAGGCATGTACTTGTAGACTGCTAGGCTGTGCAAGCGCTGCTGCAGGAGCATCATAATTTAAATTACTATGTTTGAGCTTAGTCTGATTTAAGTTACCTAAATTGCCAACAGACCAAGGGTGTGCACAGCAGCAACTGCTGTGGCCCCATTGTGATACAGCTGCAGGACCAACTTGATGTTGCCCATGAGCTTTCTAAGCAACACTAGTTTTTTGTTCTCAAAGATGTCATCCTCCTTCCACAACAAGCAACATGTGGAAAAATGACTTCTCATATTTACACATTTTCCTTCCCATCATCAGCATGAGGAAGGTGGTCTGCTTTCTCTCTGCTGGAAGTGACATTAAAAGGAACATCTCCCTGAAATCAGCTCTCACCCTCATTTAGCCCATATTCTCCTAAAGAGAGAGTACTATTACTTCCTTTTCCCAGTATTCATTCATCCCAAAGCTGAAAAGTCACAGAAATAAACTCCATTACATTAATGTGACAAAACACAATTGGATACAACTGTAAGTCTGACAGGTAGTGAAATTACAAAGAGTATTCTTAAATTAGAAAACTAGTACACAGTAGCCTTTAATCTTAAAAGAGTGTATTTCTCATTTGCCTAATAGAAAATTTGATTTACAGACAGAAGCCATTTCTGCATTGCAATTTTATTTTTCCTATTGGTACTGGAGACAAAAGGTTTTTCCTGATAAGTCATAATATCATCAATTCCCATGAGGCAGCTAACCCATCTGGAAATTCATAGGTACACAGAAAAAAAAAATCAATGTGGGAGCTCATTTAGGGCTCTCACAATTGGCCTTCAGTAGCAGTTAAAGTCATCAAATTTAACCAGAAGTAACAGCTGGGGTGAGACAAAACCAGGTACTTTCCCCAGAGTCTCTCCAAATACCTGTCTGGCTCTTCAGCAACAAGCTTTAAAGCCATGGTTAAATTTAAAATTTTGCAAACATTGTTGTGATTTAATAACAGAACATAGAAAAATGAAACATAACAGATTTAAGCAAAAATAAAAGGCGGAAGAGTCCTAAAATTAAAAGGACATTTATGGAAAAAAGTTTACTGCGAAATATTCTTTACAGTTTGTATCTTTTATAATTCCCATTTCCAAAAATGTGTGAACAAATGGCTTTAAGTTTTACTTTAAGAAGCCAGCATATTCAGAAGCAGGCTGCTCTCACAGTTCTCAGGTATTAACAGGTCTGCCTTCTCCTTTCTCAATCATATCAGCATTTACACTAAATTGAAGTAACACTTAGAGAAGCAAGAAGTGCTTCTACTTATCATGTAGTCAGTCCACACACTTTATATCTTCAGAAGTCCACAAGAAGAGTACACAACTGAAAGGCTTTAATTTCAACTTCCATCTGAAAAACCCTACTATCAGAAGATGATCCAAGACAGTCCAGAGGACAAAGAAAAAATAATGAAACAGAAGTTGGTCACTCTCACCATTAAGAGCTGTAACAGTGCAGAATCTGTAAACAGGGAATAAGAACTGTTTAATACTTTAAAACATCTTTAAAAGTCTGCATCCACTCTGAGTAGATGTGGTTTTGCTGAACATACAAATCTTGAACAGCACACTTTGAATTCAAACTTAATACGGTAAAGCTATTTGAGTTTCTTCTAGAGGAAATCTAGTACATAAAACACCGCACTCACACGCAGTTTGCCCTTGTCAGAATCAACAAACCCAAGTTCTATGCTGCTGCATGACTTACCCGGACGAGTGCATCATCTATGATGTGATCACGTCTCACTTTAAGTCGCAAATACGGATTGAGCTGCTGTCCTTGAACTAAGCTGTAGAGCACAGTTATGCGTCTTTCACTGTACATCCGGATTCTATTGTCATAATACAATCCCAGGTTCTTGGTAACAGCATTTAATATGAAGGGACAGGTCATAAAAGAGAATTTATTTTCTGTTTCTACTTTGAAGAAAGTGTAGTCTTTGTCCATTTCTAGAACATCATTCAGTGGTTCATTAATAAATTCTTCAAAAGGGATAAGTGGTTTTCTGCAATCTATAGTTTTAACACCAAGTTCAGTTTCCAGTGGGTCCACTCGAGGACCTTTTTTATTTCTTCTTTCCTCACCCAACAGCTCTTGAAGAGTTAGTTCACTTGATTCTGGGATGGGTTCTTCATCCTCCTCTTCGTTATGATCTGTATCCACATCCCCTCCTACTACATTTGCATAGTAAACCATTTTCAAGCACTTTGAAGCAGCAACAACAGCATCATCATCATTCACTAGGTTACGACTATTGAACTCATTGCTTATGACTTTGTAAGTAATAAGCTGCTGAAATGTTTCCATCATTCTCCGAATTTGGTCTGCTCTGTACTTAGACCACAATCTGACCAGTTTTGCTTGAGCTGCAAGGGGTAGTTTGCTCATTGCTTTGCAAAACAATGGTAGAGCCATTTCCAGATATTCTGGGCTATGAAGATTGCCATTCTCCATAACAATAATAAACAAATTCAGATAGTTAGGATCCCGAGAGTACACGTTATGGTAAGTCAAGTCACATTCCACATTAGGTGACAAGTACACAAGTGCATTTAAAAAGGCAGTTTCTATTTTTTCATTAGAAAGTAATCTATCATAGACCCGTCTGACTGCTTCAATATCTACAGACACTTCATCCGGGCCTAGTTTTTGGAGGTTATTATCTCCCTGTGTGTTATCACCTATTCTTGACGATGAAGATGATGATGCGCCTGAATCTTCTTCCATAGCAGCAGCCGAACAGGCAGCTTTTTCCTTTTCATCTTCATCTTTGTCTTCATCCTTTCCTTGAAGAGATTTGAGCTCCTCCTTGGTGTGGTGCTTGGCTTTCCGGAAACTCTGTACCAATGCTTCAGCACTAGAAAATACTCTCCCAATCACCCGGATTAAAGGAGAATAATCCTCTTTCTCTCGACATAGTTCAAGAATTTCATATATCTTGTCTTCTGTTAGAAAAGTGACATCTATAAAAACATAAAGTATTAATCTTAAGTTAAAAATTAAAAAGATACAATACTCCTACTTTGCTCTACTCAAGAAACCTGTGTATCATATCATCATTAACACTGGAAAAAACAGTGTCAGTGCTGGATAAATTTAAGACAGATACTTTATAATATCATTAACAGGAATAATGATTATTTCATTCACTCTGATTTTGTAAAATATATTATTCATGGATGTCGATCAGAGAACATGCTCTGTTTTGCAGCCAGTTAACTACATTTGGCAGTTAACAGTATTGTATCATCTAAACATGAACAACTAAATCAGTAAGATGTTTAAACTTTAAAAGAGTTAATGAATTTAAGACTGTGTGACAATGCAGTCTTCTGTGAAATCTGCAGTTAATATACAAGTCATTAAACTATACATGAACTAAACTGTATCAACCTCTTTTTTCCAAACATAGCACACGCTTATAGACTTCACACCCTCTTCCTCCCTTAAAAACAGATCTTGAAGAGTTTCAGTAATTTGTTTTGTTTTATATTAATGGGACTACAAGATTTCTTATTTCTATTTTAAGGCTTTCTGTCACTGTTTTTATACTAAACTAATGCCTGAAAATCCTCCCAGAAACCACAATACATGTTCAGAAATTTACACTGCCATCTGAATTACACACACAGTTGGGCATGTGGGTTATTTGTTTGTACATTAGGCATCACTGAGAAAAACAACTTGAGTGTACTCAACATGCTATTCAGATGAACAAGCTGGTTTACACACATCACCTGCATGGGCTCCAAATACCTGTATGTTCCCCCTCCCCGCCAAACCCCTGATACGAAGTCAGTCATTTGGTTGTCCATTTGTTATTTGAAAACTTCCTTTCTCTTCAGAAAAGACAAAGAGAACACATTTTTTACAGCTTTCTATGCTACTTCTCAAACAGAACCCACAGGTGATTTGACATCAGGTGATGATTTAGAGTAGGACTACCATATGATCAGACCCAGAAAAGCTGTTCTAGTTTAAGCAGATTCTTCTGAACTGGCACATAACTTAGACCTAAAACTGAATCTGTTTAATAGCATCTGTAGAGATCTAAAAAACACACATCACAGCACTGTATTCACCAACCACACTAGAACTACCGCCTTTGCAGAAAGAAGGAAACATATCACTTTAATACAGTTATATGTTGAAGTATTTTGAAATGTGATTGCCTACACTAACATTAATTTTTAATTTCATAACTAAGCAGTCATTACATTAAAAATACAAACTAAATGATGCAAAGACAGACAACCTGTTGATTTTTGCAGAGCCCCAAGCCATTCTTAGAGCACAGATAACACAGGAAGGATTAAGCTTATGTCATACTACTGACTTCCAACCAATCTGAAGACAGTGACACAGCTCCAATACTAAAAACCATCTTGTTAAAAACACAACAGCATTGAAAATATTATGAAAGGATTCAAGCTTAGTTCAACATCTCCTATTTTTATCTGCTGCAGTGCATGCTCAAGAAGCAAATTTACCTAAAAGAAATTTAACTGCTGACACAGATGTGGCATCTTCCATGCCACAGCTCCTCAAAATGAGGACAATAGCCTCAAGTTCACTGACTCTGGATTGCAGAGGTTATTCATAGCATAAAAATTATCTGCAAAAGTTGACAATTTAACAATATAACACATTTCAGATTTCCACACTTACAACAGGAATTCCCCAGTCATTCTTTTAAAGTTTTTAGTATTTAAGGAACTAATCATGTGCTATTTCCAGTTAAAATATTTAGTATTACCCTCAGCAGTTTCATAACCATTTTAAGTCATATCCTGTGACGATCCTCTGACTTAAATGCCGTAAGAATCTGCCCCATTTTTACTTCACAGCAGTGAGAACAGCTGTAGAAAAACATACATAAGTGAAGCTTTCTTCTAACTCAAGTCAATTTTAGCTGACTTGTGTCTGAATACATGAGCTTTTACATGCCTACTCTTTCCATTGCAACCAAGCAATCCAGTGAAGTAAACGTATCTCCTCTCAGACCTTGTTCTCAGTAATACTCCATGACAAATCTGTACATGAAGTCAAGCTTTAGCACTGATCCCTGACTGTGAAAAAGGACTGCATGTGAGCTATATATTGCCAACAACACACTCCCTAATTAGCAAATTTATTAATTATCTTTTCATTATCTCTTGTGGAAGCTTTGCTATGGTTGTGTGCCCACTGCCTGTCCACTGACCTTCTCTGTTCCCATTTTAATGTTTTGGTGATCAAAGTTGAAAATAGCTTTCCAGGTAATTATAACACTGATTTTGAAATGGCGCTCTATATATAGGACTACATTTGTAACCCATACTTCTTTATATATTTGCATTTTCTCTATTTCTTTCTGAAATAGAGAAGGAAATTCTCTTTTCCATGCAAGATACTACTGAGATGCTGACAATGACCTCCAGATACATTTTTCCCCAAAGGGAAAAAATAGTCTTAGGGCTTAGCACTACAGAAAAGTAATGTAAAGAATTTTTTTCTGAAAGGCATTTCTTTCAATTCACATAGAACTTTCAATCCTATGTCAAGCATAAAAGCAAGCTACACATCCTTTTCCTTGGCTTTCTTAAACTTAACTGCAGTTTTCCCAGCAACTGTTGTTGTGGATGGAACTTAAAAAACAACTTTAGAGCATGAGATTCCTTAGACATCATCCAATTCCAAAGGTAACTAAGAGTCTCGGATGGGCTTTAAGAACGCACTAATGCTCTCTGTCCATACAGCTACAGGGACAGGTCAATACTTGTCATGCTGCAACGAACAAAGTCCGAGTCACTGCTTTAGACAACAGACTGTCTCTGGAGATAGGCTGAGAAGACTTCGATCTCTATCTTGGGGAAAGAGAACAGCAGGGTCGGAGAGAAGGAAGAAAATCCTGTACACACACACCTCCATTAAAAATACACAGAACCAAGAGACAAATCACAACACAGACCTAATCTGCTTCTTGCCTGTCTAA